TCTCTCTCTCTCTCTCTTTCTCTCTCACACATACACACACACCACCGACGAGAGAAGAAATCAGCAGGTGGTCGTGCAGGGGAGGGGGGTCGTGCAGGGGAGGGGGTCGTGTGACACGCACACAGGAACCACACACCACAGAACAACCGACAGCTAGCAGACTCTGTCCTTCCGCAAGATGTCTTCTCGTCTGCTAGAGAGAGAGAGACAGAGAGACAGTCCCTCCCACGCACGAGTGTCTCATGGGTTGCTTCTCACACACGCAGTCTCTCTCTCTCTCTCAGCAGCACGGCAGCACGGCGAGGAAACACACACACACACGATTCCGCGGAATACGCAAACGCGTATAAATGATCTGCCACTGTGCCGACGACGACGACGACGATGATGATGACGCTGATGATGACGATGACGATGGGTAGTAGATCACGTCGATATACACGGGGTATCTGTTAGTATCGCGTCCCTGTAACCACGTCACGGGAATCGTCCAGGGGAGGGGGTTGTTACGTCACAAAACGAAAGCGAAACGCGCAGATTCCAGCGCGAGGACGAAACTGAGCGGAGAGGCAACAGAAAACACTCTGCCACGTCTAAAGGCAGCACCTGCACTCAGGTGAACTAGATAGCGTTCTACCTTCTACCCAACAACAGCCTGACTGACGACAGCCGTGCTTGACTGACCGACCTTTACCGAAAACACACCTCTTATCGAAACAGGTATTACTCCTTCCGTGCGTGCGTGACTTGAAAAAAAAATATCTCGAGATAAAGATCAAGGAATTTACCTTGGTCGGCGCTATCGCTCGCTCGCCAGGCACGTATGCAACCCCACTAGCTCGCTCATCACTCACTCACCCACCCACCCAACCACTCACTCACTCACTCACCCACCCACCCAACCACTCACTCAAACAACCACCCACCCAACCACTCACTCACTCACTCGCGCACTTAACCCGCTCACTCGCTCACTCACTCACCCACTCACTCACTCACTCACTCACTCGCGCACTAACCGCTCACTCGCTCACTCACTCACTCACTCACTCACTCACTCACTCACTGACTCAACCACTCACTCGCCCACTCACTCACTCACTCGCTCTATTCGCGGTCCGGACGCGTTCAAACGTTCACTCGGGGAGGTACACTGCCCTGGGGCTACTACTGCGACGACACACACGCGACTACGTATATAACCAGGTAATATAAACAGTTATTGTCAAGCCGGCCATACAATGACCGGATGCACGCACACGTGCCTTTTACCGCCGCCGCCGCCGCCACGACACGGTGACAGGTCCGCCACATATCCGCTTTTACGTCTGCCGTGCAGAAGTCAGGAGGAAGGAGGTAGGAGGAGAGGAGGAGGAGGAGGAGGAGGAGAGGGAGGAGGAGGAGGGGAGGAGGAGGAGGAATAAGGAGGAGGAAGAGGAGGAGGAGGAGGGGGAAGGGGAGGAGGAAGGGAGGAGGAGGAGCAGGAGGGGGAGGGAGATAAGGAAGAGGAAGAGGAAGAGGAAAGGAGGAAGGGAGGAGGAGAAGGAGAGGAGGAAGGAATTTCGTCCGAAGCAAGTAAGAAAGGGGTCTTGGTTGTTTCTGGCCCCTCGCCAAAACATCTGTGTTTTCTCTCCTGCTATATTTTAGCGGGTGTGGACTCGTTTATTCTTCCTCCTACACCCCGCTTCTGCGCACGCACGCACGCACGCACGCACGCACGTACGCACGCACGCACGCACACACAGACACGCCACGCACACACACCACTGTCACACACCACGCACGTACGCACGCACGCACGCACAGACACGCACACGCACACACACACCACACACAACACCACACACACACACGCACGCACGCACGCATGCACGCACGCACGCACGCACGCACGTACGCACACGCACACGCACACACAGACACACACGCACGCACGCACGCACGCACAAACGCACGCACGCACGCACGCACGCACGCACGCACGCACACGCACACACACACTGTCCACACGCACGCACGCACGCACGCACGCACGCACGACACAGACGCCACACGCACACGCACACGCACACGCACACGCACACGCACACGCACACGCACACGACACTCTCTCTCTCTCTCTCTCTCTCTCTCTCTCTCTCTCTCCTACTCCCTTCTAGTTCCACCCGCTTGTCTCATTAGAAGGCCAGTAAGTAACCGCAGTGTGCAAAACAACACAGCCACGGAAAAAGAAACGACTACTAGTAGGCCATGGCTCTACAAAGACTGTGTTACGTATAGCGAGCGTACCGGGTAACTGTAGACTAGACACAACGAACAGACTGAAAGCAGACTATAACTCCTACACTGCAAACTCAATACTATAATCTCTGTACTTACTGCATGCAGACTTTATTGCTTGCAAGCATAACTCGCCATGTGGTGAGAAGCGAGAAGGTAGGTGGTAACTTGTGCTCATAGGGTCTATGTCCCCCAAGGTACTGCCAGACGTACCCTGGGTACGGTCGGTATATCCGATACGTACCCTGGTACGGTCCGGTATATCGGAACGCTACCCTAGCACAACTATTTGATATGGTTAGGGTTAGGCAGTAGGCGTAGGCGACTCCTAGACTCTGTTAGTGAGTAGGCGAGCTACGCCGCTCCGGCATATTAGATGTACCAGGGTACGTTCTGGTATACCGGACCGTACCCAGGATACGTTCCGGCAGTACCCTGGGGGACATAGACCCTCTCAGCGTAACTTGTGACTAGGACACATCATACTTGTGGCTCTAGGATGAATGTGGGGGCTTGAGTAGGAACGAATGGCATTCATATATAATTCATAGATCAATGCTTTTTATCAACTCCGCTTATCGATCGCATCCGATTACCTAAATGATTTGCGTTTGTTTTTACTGATTCAGAGGCTCTTCGAAGATAAAATTACCTAGTTATCCATCCCCCCCACCACGCTTCACTCACTCTGTGTCTTCACGAAGGCTGCACGAGTACATGATATATATATATATATATCCAGTAATTTGTAAGATGCCAAATAAAAAACGGTTTGCATGTATTAGAATCCGTAATCAAGTTACAGCCGTCAAGTTTTACATGTAAGGGAGTAGGAGAGAGAATTATGAGATTTTCAAGCTATATAAACCACAAGATGAAAAACTGTGTTCGATAAAAAAAAACGCGTCGTGTGGTGTATCTGGAAACCCCTATCTTGATTTAGTTGATTTTATACGTCTTGATATATATATATATGTATACATCCATTTGTTTACAATGTTGCTCTGACACCTTAGGCTTATCAACGCTGCAGCAAGTACTAAAAGTAAAAGCCAAGCCTGTTCTATGAGGAACTAACCTCATACCTTTGTAATGACTAGTCTTCAAAGTCCAAAGGACTATATCAAAGATAGTGAGAGACAAGTTTGATCATATACATATAGATCAACACTGCAGATTACCTAGAAAAGCCTCAATCTTTTACAATTGACCAAATAAGAAGGAAGAGAAGGAGCAAAATTCCAAAGTGAAATAAACACCAAAAATATCCACATTGTTTATGTGTGACTTGAAACAAGCGCTTGCATGCGTATTGCGCTTGTGTGTTGAAGCCTTGCTCTAGAACTATAACCCTTCGCTCTGCCATAGCTTGTCGTAGAGCGAAGGCTATAGTTCAAGAGCTAGTTGAAGCCATGGTTGTCTGGTTGATATAAATGTGCATACCGGTACTGCATATTACCATCAATAGTAACAGATATTTAATACGTTTTCCTTAGTATCGAATTCACCATGCTACACTACTGAAATCGTCGTTGAAACGCTTGTGTTTACACACAGGGCGGTATTTCTAGCACCTCAGGGGTCTTCATGTAGCTCTAGAACTATAGCCCTTCGCTCTGCATGGACAGGCCTGTGGCAGCGCGAAGGGCTATAGCCAGTGCTAGAGCCAAGCTTCCTGGTGCAAAATCAGATGAACCCTAACATCACAGACATTCATGTTTTTTTCAATTTAATAACTCTTATAGTTCTCACGCGTGCATGCAGACGTTACTTAGTATTTGCCTATAATACCCACAATGACTACCAATTAGACGACGATCATGAATTATTCTGAAACGTCCCTGTAAAAAATAAATGAAGCATAATTAACTAGGCCGTGTGGCGTGTCAATCATGTTTGTACTTACTTTTCACTGGCCTTTCCACACAGGCTGCCTTGTCCGCTGCATTTGCCATTGTCACTGAGATGTACTAACGGCGGTCTTCTGATCCAATCTCATGGGCTAGTGGCTTCATAAACCACAAAACTTGCCGACTGGTTTCGCATTACACTCCCACAGCAGCGGAAAATGGCGCAGCAGGAGCCAACCTAAGGATGCGTTGCAGCGAATCTGAAATCTAACACGGCGCTGCGATATCTGAAGCGGATCAAAGCTTGAAAATGGTCACACACGAGCTTGATTAAACAAGGAAAAGTCTTTGCCTGGCGAGCAGTATGCACAACCGCACAGAGTCCGATACAAACGGTTAGCAAGGAACCAACTTTCCACTCTTATCATCAACGACGAGCAGCCGAGCAGACGATAGATTTCTATTTTCTGCGCGCGGGTGGAGCTTGAAGAAACCAGGCGGCAGCACCATCCAGTCATCGATTAAAAACATTTACTCGATCGCCATGACTTGGTACAGTGTCAGTGGGTATACCAGAGCACGTATAAAAGAATATAGATTAAGTAGGCCTAATATAGATTGACAATTTGCAATTGATAAGTTTGCTCTGGCTTATGCAGGATTGAAGCTTAATTCTGACTGACTTGATGCAATGGAGGCAATATTAAATTATGAACGCAAGGAGGAGGACGATCTCTATAATCTACTGGGGTGTGATGAACGATCAACGGTAAGCAAGTGAAGTAGCCTATACTGTTTAGGAATCAATAACCAGCTAGTGTATTTTAACGTAATGAAGACAGTAAATATGACAACGTACTAACATGGTGGCGACACACACTCCTGCCAGGGTGGTTCACGTCCCATCTGGTTATGTGACGACTTCCCAATAACTGGAGACAGGTCCAGTACTAGTAGTAGTACTAATACTAAGCCAATATTGCCAATAAATCGTGCACTAGGAATTTATTGTTGGTTCAAGGTCCACCAGTTACGTGGTGTTCCTACACCATACAAGGGATTACGTCTCGAGGAAATTCACTTTCCTGATCAGCAGGTATTGAACTGATAGCACAATACTAGTTTTAATAGCGCTCGATGCGAAAACTGGACACGCCAACGACTGGACCACTGCGGTTCTCGTTTCAGACGGAGCAGATTTCCGCGGAGTACAGGGCGAGGGTGCTGGACTGCCACCCCGATAAGAACCAGGACGACCCCAAGGCTGGTGAGAACTTTTGTAACGAGTTTCCAAATTCAAAAAAAAGAAAAAAGATTCAAGATTCGAATATGAATGATGATGGTGAACTCAGACCAGCGAAGGCCTGTTTTTCGCTTCACTAATGGAAACGAGCAACAATTTACGCATAAAGGCTTTTAGTTATATCTAATATATTATATATAATCATATTCATTTCAATTAATTTAATGAGTGGACAAAATAATAAGTTTTTCCTTCGCTCCCACTAATATCCTCTAACATCCTCTCGCTTTGAATTTTATAAAAAAAGTATAATTAAATTAATTTTTTCTGTTTTTTTTAATTGCTCTTGCTGTTATTCACGATGTCCTCTTGTTTGTTGTGCAGCGGAGACGTTTCGGCGGCTGCAGCGAGCGAGGGACGTTCTTACCGACGCAAAGTTGCGCGCCAGCTACGACAGGTGGCGCCTCAGCGGCATCGCGATTCCCTACGAGCGGTGGATGGCGATGTCTGGGTCCGTGCACGCGGTGAGTCTAGCTAGCTATATAGTCCACGCGGTGAGTCTAGCTGGCTATAGTGCACGCGGTGAGTCTAGCTAGCTATAGTCCACGCGGTGAGTCTAGCTAGCTATAGTCCACGCGGTGAGTCTAGCTAGCTATAGTGCACGCGGTGAGTCTAGCTAGCTATATAGTCCACGCGGTGATCGAGTCTAGCTGGTCCACGCGTGACACAGGTCCGATAAATTCATTTATCATCGTTTCAGTCGGAGTCGCGGCGTTCCGGAACTTAAAACTACGTAACCACGAAACGTGAAATTGGCGTACAACAGCATTATAACGCCCTGTTCACCTCACCCTGCTGCATCAGCTTCGGCCGCGCATCCCCCCCCCCCGCCACCGTCGTTCGCTGACGATGTCATTCGTTACAGTCCATGCACTGGGCGACGAGGACGAAAAAAGATGCTGCCATCGAGTCAGCAGGCAGCAGCGACGCAGCCTCGCACGCAGCGGAGCAAGTGCCAGCAGGGGGCGTCACTGCTGCCGGGCAGCGCCTACCCGCCGGCTCTCTCTCGGGTGAGCCTCAGACTCCTACTTCCTCACTGGTCTCGAGTCGGACCGGTCTATACTCACTGTTAAGGTCGCATGCTGAAACTAGAGGGAGGGCATCCCCGCCCCCTTTTTTAGGGGGGGGGGAACGAACGAGGCAGAGGTGTGTGCGTGCGTCCGTTAGCGATTCCCTGAGCTGCTCATGTTGCCAATTCCTGCAGATGATTAATGTTTGATATGATCAGGAGCATCATTACATAGACACTCTATCTCTATCGAAAATCGATCAATTATATCAATATCATGACACGTCTGATCTCATCCCAGTGTAGTTTTATATCGTACAACTGAAATCTTTCCAAAAAATTGTCGAAAACAGAACATCAGTTTGCATCTCAAGGAAGTTAGTGTTTCGCATTCAAGAAGCTTAGAAATCAAAATATTGTAGACGTCTGTTATGTGTTTTCCTGATTCGTTTGTTCTGTTCTGTTGGCAGGAGTGACTTCAGTCGACGTTGTAAACGTGAGATGGGAGCGGGCATCGGCTCACAATTCAATGTTGAGCAAGTTTCGCAATTATGAGATATAGGTTTGTAACAACCTGTTGCTTGAATGAATGTATGCGAAGGCAGCTATGATAGATGTCTATTCATTTCTCAGGTTGAAAACGATGGTTTCTAGCATTCCTGTATCATGTGCTATGAGGGTAGTATTGTGAACATATATGTATATTGGAAATTTATTATCGATATACGATATACACGGATTGATGGTTGTATGAATGGGGTTGATTGATACTTACCTATGGTAATAAGATTTTGAAAAAATGTAATATTACTTCAGATGGCAGCTATTGTGCAGAGTTGGAGTGTATATTGTGCAACACTTACAGAGATGCTTTATTTTATATTTTATTTCTATTTTGTGCAGGCAACAGATGGCAGCACAGTGTTGTTTTTATTCTGTGTATAATAAAATTAACACATTACTGGATACTACTACTAGTAGCAAATAGTGAGATGCCATGTGAGGAAAAAAACTTGCAATTACCAGAACGTTATTCTAAGTTTTACACAAAGTTATACTGTCAAAGTATAAGTCAAAATGTGTTGAATTATTAAATATATATATATAATTTTTCGCTACATATATGTATGGGGCAGAATACTAATTGACATTTTTCGTTAAGTGTAGAATG